TTCTTAGGACTTTTAACTCACAAATGAAACATAATGTAACTTGAAACTTTACTTGAAGCCTTAACTTCCATTGAAATTTAATTTTTGGACTCTACTCCTTAAAAATTTGGTAATGGGAGTTTATATTAAAATGTGGGTCATATTATGGTGGCATTTTAATACTCTTGTATCTTATTCATTTTATTATTGGAGTATCATGTTAATTGGACTTGGGGAGCAAGAAGTGGCAAGTTTTCTGGATGCTCTGGTAAGACACATGTGCACAGTTGTGTGGGAGATAAATTCTACCCCAAATCAGGTATACTTCCTATTTCTAAGAGACAGGCATGGACTTGGCAAGTAGATTTTGAAGACAGCACAGACCACATTTGGAAATGTTGCTCCAACTCATTTATCATGTGACTCATAGGGCTACTGGTTTTGAATGGTGTGCAAAGAAAGAGTGGTGTCTCCAGTAGTAATTTTCAGTACAAGTTCAGTACAGCTGATTGGATCATGTGACTCAGCAGATCCCAAATTATTACAGGTATCTGTGACAGGGTCTCTGGCAAGTACCAATAGGAGAGTCATAGCACAGATCACTGGAGCAAAGCCATACCATCTGCAGCAGAAAAGTATTCATTGTTTGAGATGCAGTTCCTGGCATGCTCCTCAGCCTTATGAGGACATTTAGTGACTATGTAATTGGCCTACTCATGATGAGTTGGACATTGTCAGACCTATTAAATAATAATGTCGGGAGAACACAGCAGCAATCCATTGTATGATAGAAATTATACACTCAGGATCAGGCCTGAGCATGTCCAGAGGGCACAGCTGGGTGAACAGGTGGCCCAGACCCCCATGCCACCTATCCCTATTATACTGATGTCTCTTCTTTAATTCATGCCTATGGCTTCAAGGGGTTTGCAGTGACCAACTAATGGAGGAAGAAAGTATCCAGGCTTGGATCACAAATGGGTTGGTTCAGTATGGACTGCTGTACTGCAGCCACACTCAGGGGTGGCCCTGGAAGACAGTGGTGAGGGGAAATTCCCTCAGAGGACAGAGCTTTGAGCAGTGCACCTGACCATCAAGTTGGTGGGCAGGAAGAAGTAACCTGAAGTAAAGATATGCATAAATTCCTGGGATATGGTTAGTGGCTTTGCAGATTAGTCAGGAGCCTGGAAGGAGCAAGATAGAAGATTGGAGACAAAGAAATACAGAAAAAAGGCACATAGATTGTCTCATGGGAGTGGGCACAAAGTGTGCAGATCTTTGTGTCTCATAACAATCCCTACCAGACAGCATCCACTGCAGAAGTGGCACTGAACTACCAGGTTGAATAGATGACTTGTCCAGTAGAGGCCAGCGAAGTTCTGTTTCCGTGGCCACCAGTACTTGCACAATGGACTCATGACTAAAGCAGCCACGGTGGCAGAGATGGAGCTCCCTTTACCAAGGCTGATCAAATTGCTACTGCAGATTGTCCAAAATGTCAGCAGTAGAGACCAATGCTGAGTTCTCATTTGGTACCAGTCTTTGAGGAAATCAATTAGCCACTTGCTGGCAAGTTGATTACATTGGGCTACTTCCACCTGGAGAGGGCAGAAATTCATTCTTCTTTGTACTGATACACGTTCTAGGTATGGGTTTGCCTTCTGTCTTAGTTTGTTCTGGCAGCTATAAAAAAATACCACAGATTGGGCATCTTATAAACAATAGAGTTTATTGCTCACAGTCGTAGAGGCTGGAAGTCCAAGATGATGGTGCCACATGCTTGAGTGAAGGCCCACTTTCTCCATAGCTGGCATCTTCTTGCTTTGTCCTCACGTGATGGGAAGGGTTAGTGAGCTCTGTGAGATCTCTTTTATAAAAGCTCTAATCCTATTCATCAGGGCTCCATCTTTATGATTTAATTACCTCCCAAAGGCCCCACCTACTAATACCATCACCTTTGGGGGTTAGGAATTCAACATATGAATTTTAGGGGGATGCAAACATTTAGATCATTGCAGCTTCTCTACCTATAGTAACTTGGTTAGCACTTCTGTCTGAAGACCCAGAGCGGTCATCTGCTTACTGTCTAATTTATTATCATAAGATCCTGTATCACCTTGAATCAAGCAACCCACTTGTCAGGGAAGTTGTGACAACGAGTCCATGACCATCGTGGGATCCACTGGCCTTAAAATGTACCACCTCATTCAGGAGATTCTAATTGGTAGATGTTGCAATGGCCTCTTAAAGCACAGCTAAGGAGCCAGCTTGGCTCGCCTTGAATATACCCTTTAGTGTTGTGCTACTATCTCTCGTGGTGTCATATATATTTTAACTGATGTTTGTTATGTGGTATTGTGTCCTCGCTAACTAGAGAACATGAGTCTGGAAAATAAGATGTGTTTTCATCATTACTGTCATTCCCAGTGACCTATGTGGGGAATCTGTGATTTTCATCTCCATGAATTTGGTCTCTACTGGACTAAAGACTCTTATTTCCAGTAGGAATAGACAGAGGACTCTTCTGCTGGGGTACACGTTAATGGTTCCACTAATCCTAAAGCTATGATTGCAGCCTGGACATTGTGGGCTCCCTGTGCATGTAGACAAGAGGGCCAGAAAATGAGTTATACTACACCATACCACACCATATTATACTCTACTCTACTCTACTATGCTGTCAAGGATACACTACCCTGATTATCACACAGAGAAAACATTGCTGCTCTGTAATGGGGAGAGGGAGGAGTATGTCTGGAACTCACGGGATTCACTGGATTGCCTCCAGCTGTATTCAAGCCTAGTGTTCACTGTGAATGGGCAAGCAAGCCTAGTAACCACAGCCTATTAAGAGCATGTTAACCAGGAGCTTGGACTCTAGGGAATGAAAGCAATCTAGACCAACAAAAGTGCTGGCTAAAGGTGAGGAGGATCCGCTCTTGGTGGTAAAGGAGAGAGATGAAAATATCATTTGTGGAAGTAGAGACTAGTTTCTCCCACTCACCCTCCTGTTGTAGGTTTTGTTTTAGACATTGGATGGAGGTGTCAGCTAATGCTATCGTGGTAATCATTTTGCAGTATATAAATGTATTCACATGTTCTTCACCTTAAAGTTACACAATGTCAATTTTATCTCAATAAAGCTGGGGAAAAAAAGAAATTATGACCACCTTGGAGAAGCAGTGACAGTAGGGAGTTCATTTAAAATGTGGGGCGTTTCAGGGGGTGAAATGTAGCAGATGCTCTCAGTGCCCAGCCATACCTCTTCAAACGACTAGCATCTACATGTCTTTGCTTGAAGGCTTCCTCTGATGACTAGAGGCCACTCTGCAGGTGTGCCTGTTAGCTGGAAATTCCAGAGAATTTCCAGTTTCTGGAAGCAGCCCTCAACCAAGCCTGATGAGAGCTGATGCGTCAGAGCCCTATCCCTCTCACTTTAGATGTGGAATAACTCGGAGGTGCCTGTCCCACATCAGCTGGAGCTCCCCTGCGGGTTGAAACTTCATTTACCCACAATAGGAAACTTACATGATAACATAACCTGTATTAACTGCTTCCCTTTCCTAAACAATGGAGGGATGTCTATTTGGCTAGATCAGGAGTTGACATATTTTTTCTGTAAAGGGCCAGATGGAAAATAATTCAGGCTTGTGGGCGACGTACATCTAGAGTCTCATATAATTCTTTGTGTGTTTTTAATTTTTTAAATATATTTTTAGAACTATTTAAAAATGTAAAAACCATTCTTAGTTCATAAACTATAGAAAACAGGCCTTGGGTCAGATTTGTCTCAGACTATAGTTTGTGAACCCCTGGCCTAGAGAAAAACAAGTAGAAATAAGGGACACTAATTTCATAACATAACCTTATCTCAAATGTGAGTATTTGAGTTTCAAACAAGTTCTCATTCTTTGATATTGATTTATATTTATGAAGATAACCTAGGGTCTTGGCTGTGAGACAGGAAGTGCCTAAAACTTGTTATGATCTGAGTTTGAGTGAGACAAAAATGTATGGATTGAATTTTCTTCCAAACCCACATGAAGGGAGAGAGTGCTTGGCACAGCTTTTTTCTTGGGGGGAGGGGAGGGTTATTATTTTACCAAAAACATTTGTGAAATAGTTCTGGAGACTCCACAAACCAAAGAGGTGATTGACTTTGCCCTGAGGAGTCATTCTGCACCTTAAGCTTACACCTCAAATATGTTGACATTTCAAAGTAGAATTTTAGCTTTATATCCTTCACCAGTGTGTTCCCAGCACTAAATATATCGAAGGAAGAAAGTCCAAATGGGGTGATTTATTTGAGAAATTCCCAGATTGGGGGCAGGTGTCTCTTGAAATGGTGGCCTCAGGGAAAGAGTATATTATGATATATTTAGTAAATGATGTTGAGGGAAATTGCAGAGGACTATATAAATTGGGGGTTGGAGAGGGAATAGAAAGAGAGAAATATTTTCCCTGGATGAGATTTATGAGCCAAGAAATAGACAGTTTGGGAAAGAAAACTTTTCCTTTTGTTCCTTTAACCCTGACAGACTAACAGCCTTCAGAAAACTGAGGTAGAAAATTATTTTCACCTCTTATGCTTTTGCATTACTCCACATCATTTCTCCATAGTACATTGCATGGCAATGTATTTTCCTGTTTCCATTTTTTGCTCATCACAAAATAACACGAATTTCTGAACTCTGTTGCTTGTAGACAAGCACAGTTTGAAATCACATCCATTCCTCTTAGAAAGTTTTGGCTGTATAGGTCCTCATGGGAACGAGTAGAGCTGTCCACAGCCTAAGTGAAGAAATTGTGTTTCTTCTTGAGGGTCCTGGTGTCTGTGGCAAAGGGAGTTATGACTCAACAGCCTTTTATTGACAAGGAAGTCTGAAGAATCAGTCCTCTTGGACGTTGAAATATTTAGCTTACTCAATTCATTCATAGTAATGGGTGACTAGGAGAATATGATGGCCCAAATTCTCAGAAAATGCAGAAATTGCCGATAAGTCTGATATGCTTTCTTTCAGCTCTTACCTCAAAGTGATTAATATGTCACAAAATGGATGAGCTGGACATCTGGCTTCTAATGGTTTTTCTGATGGAGGCAATATGATCAGCGAACAAGACAGAAAGGAATGCAAGAGGATGGAGAGAGAACTGCAAAGAACCTGATTTTCTCATTACTGAGTAGTCTACTTGTGAGCATCTGAAGGTTAGCTACGTGTGTTTGGGAAGGGAATTTCGTGACTTCTAGACTTCCTTTTTTCCCTATGCTGAGGGCCTTGTTGCATCATGGTGCACTGGAGTGAATCAAGGATTTAGGGCTCTTTGGAGACTGTGATAATTCCTACAGATAACTGGGGAGAGCTATTTAATGTTACTATATCATATCCATGAGCCTCAAAATTTGTCAAAAAGTCATTTATGGAAAATCTTCTATGAACAAAGTGCACTAAAAGGGGGAAAAATGTATATTGCCCTGGTGAAGCTTATGGTCTTCCTGAGGAGAGATGCTTTCATATTTCCAAGCCTTTACAAATGCCATTCCTTTTGCCCATCTCTTCCCAGCTGCTCATTAGAAAATGCTTGCTCATGCTTCCAGATTGAACCCACACGTCCCTTCCTCTTTGAAGCTTTCCATAATCCCCTCTGAAGCGAGTGTCCTCTCCTTTGTGTTCTCACAGTGCTGTGAGGCCTTGGCTGTACGGCACGGTTATCATCTATTTTCTTATCCGTCTCCTCTGGGCTGTAGGCACTCTGTAGGCAGGAACACTGTCATATGTACTCCAGCACCTAGAACAGAGCCTGAAATACTGTGGGTTCAGTTATTAGACAGCAGCCTGGAGGCCTAATATAACCCACACACACGTTTGGTTTTGTCTGAGCAGTGTGGAGCTACGTAGTGATTTAAATGGTTTTGAATTAATTGCCAATTCAACACAAAGATCCAAATTTATGATATCTCCTGAAAAAATCAGAAGATACAGCAGCGTTAGGCTTGTTCTCTTGTATGGACTAGTCAGCTGGAGCTGAGAAGTGGCTATTCCATGCGAAAAGGAACAAGTGCTTTCTTTCAGCTAGCCACAGTCTCTGCTGCTCCCTAACATCAGCTTGACCTCGAATGCTTCATTTATTTACATTACTTGCCTGGTCCTTGTAGATATTGGAGATTGCATCCCTGTTTCTCAAAACTACCCAGCACTAAACTTGTCACTTCCTTCCCAAAGTCATCTTGGTCCCTATTCCCTTATCCAAGAAGCAATCTACCTCCTTTGAACTCATAATTCAGTGGTCCTTAAAGGGGGAAGGGGTTGTGCATATTAGAGTGAGTTGGGATGCTCTTTCAAAATACAATTTTAGAATCTTACAGTAGTTAGAAACATATCTGAAAAATCTTCCACATGTAAACCTCTTACTCAATTTAAGAACCACTGAATCTGGTCCTTTATGTATTCTCTTCCTTATATTCCAGTTATTAGTCACATGGATTACCTCCTCTACTAGATGGTAAACCCATGGGGGTCAGGACCTTGGTTTATTTCATCTCTGACCTGGAAAGTATATTAAATATAACAGACACACAATAAATATTTTTCGAATGAAAACCTTAAATACAGTATAACAATTCAGAGGAGACCCTGAGTTGGCAGGGGTGACTGTGCATGGCTTCATGGAGTGTGGTGTACTTGACCTTTACCAAAACAACATTGGACTTGTGGTCAGTTCCAAAGGACCATTGCTTTTGGATGCAACTCTGTTGTAATAGTCTGCCTACAAGGCTGAATTTCCAAAGGGAGTAGTTAAGGCACTGAAAGAATCTTACTTCCTCAAAGAAAAATACTCTCTGAAGGAATCTTCATATCATAAAACGTTTGACATGCCCCCCCCCCCCCCGCATCTTTATTGAAATATGTTTTTACTGAAAAAGAAAAAAAAATCAAGCACCAGATGTCACTACCCACTAGGCTGTTTTGTATATATTCTTGTCTATATTGTTCATGACTAAGACCTTAAGGAGATGCAGATAGCTGAAACTTGTTGGATTAATATACTTCAAACCACATGAATGTTGCAGTTTTTTTTAATGAAGTGTGCCTTGTTTCTATTAAATTCTAATTATGACTACTGTAAAAGAAAATGAAGTCTCTCTAATTACCACAAGAGGGAGATATATAAATAACAGGCTAAGCACTTGACTTGCTTCTGTTTGGTACTTAAGCTTGATGAGTTCCACATTCTAGAGTCCTCTGAGAAAAGAGAGCATGAGAGAGGCTTTACACTTTATATTATCCCCTTATTATGAGATACCAACTATCTTTTCTGCCCTGTAATTACTTCATTCTGCTCTAATGGATTCAGCATTCATAACCTGTTTGTAAATTTATTAGTATACGTGGGTCTGCCTCACTTTATGAGCAAGTCTGATTTGAGAGAATTCTAGCTCTACTCAAAGATTCGTTCTGTCAATATACGTGTGTTGTATATTTCAGACCCTGGGCTAAATAGAACAGATGTAAAAGGAATAAATTAACCTTTGTCATTCTGGACCTGTCAGTCTAGTGGGGGTGTACCAACTCTAAAACACTGGATGAATGGGTTTAGTGATAGTGGTACACAATAAATGGTTAAAGGATATGGAGAGAAAGAAATAATTACTTCTGACTGAGAATTTCAGAGGAGGTGAGCCATGAAGAATGAGTGGTAATTGCACAGTCTGAAAATGAAAGAAAGGCCATTCCATGGATATTGTAAGCAAATGTAAAGGAATTCTAAAGTGTTTAGCCTTTTAGGAGAAAAAGTAGTCATCAGCATTGTTAACTGAAGGATGTATGGAAAAGGTAATGGGGAGAATGATAGAAAACACTGGAAAATTAGGTTGACAATTTTCGTGCATATAGAGAGGAGTTTTATTTAATTCTAACCTCCTTCTAGTAAGCCTTTCTCTACTTCAGAGTCTGAAAACCTAAAATCTAATTTCCCCGGATCCCTTGCAGTAGATAGATTCCACCAATGAGATGCTCCCCCACAAGATTTGGAAAGCAGAAGTAGGTAGGTCCTATCTTTTTGCTGATTTTGGCTGTATCTGTTTACAAGCATTTTTCCAGTGTCTAATCTCTAACTCTTTGTGGGTGTTGAGAAGCTGTGGTGGTAACAGTGACTTCCCGATCCTGAGATTACAACTATGGCAATATATTTTCAAGTCAACAGTTTGAGCGGGAGCCTCCTGACTAACCATGTGCTTGTTTGTGGCTGAGGCAGCAGTACCTTTGGTGGGCAAATTCTGTTGTGTTGATCTGGGGACCATTCCTGGAGACCTGCCCTAGAGTCTACTCCTTAGCCCTTCGAACTAATTTTTTTTTTTTTTAAAGATTTTATTTTTCCTTTTTCTCCCCAAAGCCCCCCGGTACATAGTTGTATATTCTTCGCTGTGGGTCCTTCTAGTTGTGGCATGTGGGATGCTGCCTCAGCGTGGTCTGATGAGCAGTGCCATGTCCGCACCCAGGATTCGAACCAACGAAACACTGGGCCGCCTGAAGCGGAGCGCGCGAACTTAACCACTCGGCCACGGGGCCAGCCCCCCTTCCAACTAATTTTTAAGCCCTACTTCTTGGATTAAAACTCTGCTTCAAATAAGCAATATGATTTCTATTTCCTGCAACTTTCCTGCAATTTTATACTGAAGACAAGGGGAAATCATTGAAGGTTTTTTAAGTAGAGGAATGAAATAACCAGACTGTGTTTCAGAAATCTCATTCTATTGACAGAATGGAGTGTGGATTGAATGGGAGCAAAATTGGATATGAGGTTATTAAGATGTGGTTGAATGTCATCAGGGTCATCATGGGGATGGGACAAGATGTTGACACAGTGATTTGCCTCCAGAGAGGGCCGGCTTCATGGACTTGTCACAAAAGACTATGTGCATAGAAGGCCCCAAGCTTGGGGTTTAACATTCTGTTATCACTGTCTTGAAATTCTTAATAGCTTTTATCCTTGAGTTTGTGTTTTATAATTGAAGTCTGATGAGACAATGGAGCATGCCCCAGAGGGCTCAAAACCTCAGTGCATGCTGGGTCTCCTTATTTCCTTTGCCTGGGTCCTTAGCTGTCTGCTGTTCTTGCCTCCTGGTGCCCAAGACCTACCCATCCTTTGCTTCCTCATCACCGCCCAGTTGCTGCTGCTGTGCCCTACAGCCACCTAGGCAGGGGCCTAAGCTCAGGGAGGTGGGAGTCTGGCACATGCAGTGTCATAGCAGTATGGTGGGCAACTTAGTGGTGTGGGAATCCTGGACACCCACTATTCAGGTATTCAGTGTGTCCGGCATAGAGGGTGCAATCCTTTGAGGGTTGCCCATCTGCCGTGGGTTGGAGAGGTGGCCTGTGGGAAGGGGAGATTGGCTTCTTCGCCTCCAGCCAAAGAAGGTCACTCCAGTGGTTGGCAGGAGGGGAACCCAGGAGTTTGTGGTTTCGGCACTGATTCACAGGACAAGGCCCCTGGGATCTGTGAGGGGCTGCACGCTCCCCGCAAGTATCACTGTGCTTATGGGGTGGTAATATTAAATAGCAAACCCCACCATGACAGGTCAGCAGAAAAACCACTGAAGAAAGGAAAACGTTCTATATTTTACTACTTTTTAATGTCAGCTTTTCCCTGCCTTTTGAACAAGGTGCCCACATTTTCATTTTGCACTGGGCCCCACATATTACGTAGCTGGCCCTGCCTCTAGGTAGAGCACCTACAGCAAAATTAGACCTTTAGCGCTGGAAAGAATAATCCCTTGTTTCTAAGGACCTGTGGTTTGTTATGCTAAAAGAAATTTCCTCTCCAGATTTGAGTTACCTTATAATAAGACATATTCTATGACCAGAAAGAGGAAAATAAAAATTCCTTTTATTTTATCTGTAGACTGTGTGTAGAGAGGTAGGGGCAGGGGGTGTAGGGGACAATATAGAGAGAAAGATGGAACGAGATGGTGAGAGGAAGAGAGAGAAAGGTCTACCGCTAGTGCAAAGTTGTAAAGGAGAAAAAGGGAGATTGATCAGGAGCCTGGGGGAAAGGTTTGCATCTGGTAAAGAGTTGGGGATGCTTCTCCGGAGAAAGAGGGAAGTAAGTGATGATGGATGCAAATAAAAGTGTTTTTAGAGGTGGCTGAGTTGTATATCTTCTATTTCTTAATTCTGGGTGCCTGAAAGTGAATAAGGTTGAAAGTCA